GAAGCAAAACAATGATTAGCTATTTCGGTCTTTCTGGGAAAATTGTAACTCGAGCCAACCAATTTGAAGGATTATTCAAACTGTCATGGAAACCTGTGGCTTACATTTTTTTTGTTGGAATTGGATTCCGAAAAAACGCATGGTATGATAACAGTGGAAAGGTAGATGGATACCAGCTATTTGATATTTTCTCAGAAAGAAAGGTTGTATTTAATAATCCAACATGCAGCCGACTTGAAGATAGCTAACCTAGTAAGATCTGCATTCCCCTCGACATATACTCAAACTGAGGCAGCTCCCTACCTCCCCCTCCCCCCCTACCACTAACTCGAGAAACACTTTGAGGCTCAATAATTTCGTAAGTTTTAGAATCACTCTTTCCAGATATATATATATCCATGCAAACCAGCCCTGCTTATTATTGCTTATCACATGATTTGTTGTTACTCTAAGAGGTCAGCACTTGGGTGAGTGTTGTCACACAATTTTCATATTGGATGATTTCAAGAGTTAAAATTTAACCAGTTCACTAAATTCTCCCAAACAAGAGCTTAAATATGTCTTGTCTAAATTGTCTTCGGATTTTACCGACAAATTCAGTTCTGAAAACTCACGAGCCTTTTCTCAGGTTGTGCCGGTTCCCAGATAATTGAAGCTTTTCAGCTTAACACAGTGGGAATCCTTTGCTATATTTCTGTGCCTATTTGTACCTACAAATCAGGAATCGCATCTGAGCTCCATGATAACTACAATTTTACTATCATCTTCATAAGATATTATCCGCGTAACGTTGACCCAGTTAGTCAATAGGCTGCCACAAAGTAGCAGTTGTAGACAGAAGCCGCCAAGAAAAGGAGAAGCATCAATCGAGAATGACATTTGGCGTCGGACATGTATTTCTTCGCGGTATTGTTGAATGCCTGAAATTCAATCTTTCCCTGAGAAAGTTCAACAAAACCAATACCAGCTTGGTAATTCTGGAGAGCAATTCCATCAAGTTCAGTGATGGTCACCTCGTAGAATGAGTTGGGTGATTTCTGACCAGGGATGAAGGGCTGTTTATGGACAACAGGCAAGGTCTTCTGATTCACCCATTCGTGTTGGCAGTAAAACAAGAAGAACAGCAGGCAGACAACGAGAAAAAACACAGGAATAGCCTTTGATCCACCGCCTGCAACAAGGGCTCCAAAGAGGCTGGCAAAGCACAGCCATCGCGCGACTCTTAAAAAGTACGGACAATCGATGTAGGTAAGCAACTTATCTTTTGGGAAGTAAGGTTTGCTCTGTTTGATGTAATGATTTGTACGGGCGTGAATTTCATCTCTGATTTTAACGGTGGTACCAACATCTTTAATTTCAATGTGTTTGGAGCGTACCCGTTCGATTTCGGTTCTCCCTGGGTTAGCGATCAAGCGATCTCTGTCAGACATATTAGTTTACCTCCAAGCAACGACAACCTAAGAATGCAATGAACTAAATTAGTCAGACAAAAATAATTCATTTCTATACTTTATTATTTACATATTTTCTGTTAATTTGAAACAAAAATTCAAATAGGTTGAAATTTTGCAAGATAATAAGCTCTAGGTTCAATCCCTTGTCACCAGATCCGCAGTCAGTTTCATATCAATATCATACGGTACACTTCTTCATAAACTTAGCGAGGTTATTTACAGGATCATAATTTGTTTTGAGGAGAGATATCTTGAATTACTACTGGATCAGGGTTTACTGAATTATATCAATTTTACTCCTACCTTTACTGATTTAGTCCGAAAACCTCCCACGAGTATAAAATTAAGCACGAAGCTCTTTGCAGTGCGAGGACAACAAGCACCTGTGATGACATAAGATACCTTCTGCGAAATTGAAAATGTAAATGAACCCAGTTCCCCTCCTCTCCGGACATGGTAGCGGGAAACCTCAAGTCTCTTTTTTAACCGAAGAGATAAATTAATTTGTCATCTTCCCGTCAAATCCAGCCTGGGAGGTTAGCAAATTTGAATTCTGGATGTGATTTATTGTATTATCCTCGAGACGGGTCTCAGTTCTCGCAAGTGACACTGGCTATTTACATACGTTTGTTTACGCACTTGGTAAAATTTGAGCCATTTCGGTTTTCTCGGAAATTGTGCCAGACTATCAACCGATTTTAATTGTTTTTATTCGAACACAGCGCTCCATTCGGCTCTTAAAAGGAACTTTTATTGTACTCACATGACGCAGCCTTAAAATACATTCCTAAAGACTGGTAGCAAATTGAGTAACAGCACAAATCTTAGGTGACTATCAAGTACAAAAGCTAAGATCAAATTGATTCTGTACTTGGCCTGTTTTCATTTTATGTCAGTATCTTTCGTAATCGCAAGGAAGCGAAAACCAAATACAAATTCATTTGATGGATGGGATTCTTCTTACTAAAGCGCTTGTTGAGTTTATCTTGTACAGCATTTGACAGTATTTTGCCTTTAGATAAGCATTTTTCTGAGAATTTTCTGAGAGGGTATGATATAGGTTTGTTCTATGTGGAAAACGTTTGACAAGAGTATGTTAATGCTATCTTCAGTTTAGTTTCTCAAAACGGAGTTTATCTTCGTTTTTCCGTAGCTATATTCATCGAGGTTCTTGCACTATGTTATAAACGTCGACTGTGTCGTTCCCTTTAAAGACAAGAGGTGTAAAGTACGTGATTAATTCACTCTTTCAAGATTAAAGAATACAGAAAAATGAAGAAAGTATTGTACAAAGCGAGAAACAGGAAGACGCCGAACATGATGCGAGAGATACGTTTTGCTTTATCCATAATCTGAAAAGCTACGGGGTGAAAAACCTGGAAGCTAAATTTTCCAGCGGTTGTCGTAGTGAAGCCAATTTTCAGATCGTAACTAGAAAGCGCGATCGTTTGGAGTTCTTTGAAAGTCACCTCGTACAAAGCGTTGAGCGTTTGTAGATCATTCTTCACTGGTTGTTTCTTGACAAGTGGAAGTGACTTCCTGTTTACCTGTTCGTTTTGCCAATAGATGGCGATGAAAGGAAAACCAAAGATCAGGAAAATAATCGCTCCAGTGAGCGTTGCAGCTCCTCCGAAACTCAACACAGCTACAATAACTGAAAACCACAAAGGGACACCGCGATAATTTTGTAGATATGCTCCAGGCATGAAACGCTTGCTTTCATCGATGAAGATGTTGGTGAATCGAAACACTGAGGCGTGGGGAATATTCACTTTGTGGCCAACGTTTGTTTTCCTTAAGTGAAGAAGCTCAGCCGACTCTAACTTGGGCATTCTACTTAAATACTCTTTAGCCAGTCGAAAAAATCTCCAGTGAACGAGGACGATTGAGTTCTCAGACCACTGAGAAGGTCGTCGACGTAACTTGTAACTCTTACTCGTCCAAAGAATAACTGTATCATGAGTCGACTTAAATTTTTTAAGTTTGGTGAAATGGTAATTTATGGATACTGCGAGCCTGAGTAAGAAGTCGATCACGCTTCGTGATAATTGAGTTACACAGGAATGTTGCCCCTTCTTGGAACTGTTGACGTAGAAATGCGAGATTACGGAATCCCAGGTGACTCAACTATTTATGTTTTGATTAAATATGGTTTGACTTGTTCAAGAAATTTTGGGTCATCCGCGTCATGAATATGGTAATGAACATTTCATGCGACTAATCAAATCTTTCCCAATCGGTCTGACAGGCATCGGAAAGAGTTTAAAAGCAAACATGAGGTAGCTTGCAAAATAATTCTGCGTCTGTTGTGACAAGAAGATGGATATTCTGTTTCCAGTAAATGAAATCTTTTGATAATATTTCACGCAATACAACGATATCCCAGTTTCAAGGGAATGTTGGTATTTCTAGTAAATTGTAACTCGAACCCATCGGCCGAACATCTGGCTGGAGAGTCCACCCACTGAGAAACAAGGCTATAGGATCATAAAATTTCTATTGGGATGGTCTCAATAATAGAAGCGGGGACGGTGCTTGTTTGTCATTTAGAAGCGTTTTCGACGACTACCCAAAATGGCCGCCACCATAAACTCCTTAACGCTGTATACATTGCTGGATCTTCACCCTTGTCTCAAACTGGTCCCTTGTTTTTTTTTTGCTCCTAACAGCCCCTCCCGACCCTCCTCGAACCCAAATAGACGACTCTCGATCCTAGGCAGTTACTGCCTTGTCACGTCGTTTCATTTTTTCCGATCCCATTCATTACCAACCATCCTCACGTCCCTACAAGTGTTCGTCTCAAATACTAAGGGCAACAAATACAATAAAATCTTGTTTTTTAAACTTTTAACTATACATATATATATTACTTCAATGATTTTGATTTGCTGTTCTAAAAGTATCGAAAAATGTATGCTATACATATCCAAAATACACTGAAACCTTTTCCCTCAAATGAAATATTGGTACAACAGAGTATTCTTTTAGATAAACGACCTAATTCCAATTTACTAAACTGTCAATAAACGAAAGTCCTCTTTTCAGTTAAGCCATACACCTATCAAAAATCGTACATGGTTTGAAACAAATAACTTAATTTAATTTATAATTTAATTTCAAAGCGAATTAACTCCTTTTAATCAAAATAGACTCATTCTGTAAGCGGAATCATAAAGTCAAATCAGATAAAAAATGACGACTTTAAATATAAATAAACTGAGTCCTCTTCAATTATTGATATCCTACTGTCTGGAAATCATATCTTATACCACAAACGAAAGTCGAAGAAGAGAAATACTGTGAGCTGGATCAAGCCATATTGACCTTACTGTTTACATCAATATTGTTGCGATTCCGACTTTAAATATAAACTAGTTATAGTTCTCACTAGAGCTGCCCCCGCCCTACAGTACCATTTTCTTTTTTTTTTTTGAGTCGGGCTTGTTGTTTACAGTTGTGTAGTTATGACCATTTGCGGGAAAAACGTTGATACCTTGCGGCCGTGCAAGCGATCAAATCGAGATTTTTTTTGGTTACGATCAACCGAAAACACCTACATTCTCTCTTCTCCAGTCTTCCTCTATACTAGGACAAATCTCGTGTCAAAGATAAAGACGCCGATCCTAAAAGTCCTCGCGCGCGTGTCTTTTTACTGGCAGCCCATGACCATTTGCGGGAAAAAAGTTGATACCTTGCGGCCGTGCAAGCGATCAAATCGAGATTTTTTCTGGTTATGATCTACCGAAAATACCCACATTCCCTCTTCTCCAGTCTTCCTCTATATTACGCGGGGAGTCCTAAGGTGCCTCCTCGGGTTTTTGGCCCTCTGGGGCCAAAAACCCTGCGGGGGCAATAAACTGAGTCCTCTTCAATTATTGATATCCTACCGTCTGGAAATCATAGAACTCTGGGTTTCAAATTGATTCATTTGAAAAATCATCGACCTCAAAAGTTGAAGCGACGTTATCCACTTTTCCTGGATGACGTGAAGAAAAAAGATGACCGCCCCAAATGACTCGAACAATACATCAGGATCTTTAGGTCGAGAACTTCCCTGTTAGCTTGTTGAAAACAGGGAACGTCGCCGACTACCTGAAACTGAACGAGCAACGGTGTTGCAGTCATTTACATCAGATCCCAAAGATCTCCGATGGAACCACGAAAATCTTCGAAGTACCGATTGAGATTTGTTTGTATCTTCCGGAGCTTTCCCGTCGTCCTTATGCAGAATAGCAACGGCAGCACTCTTGAACACTTCTTTAACATTCCAGCGTGTTTTGGCGCAGCATTCCACATAATCACGTGCGGCGATAGACTGTGCAACTGAAATAGCCTGAAGAGTAAAACGATATTCATCTCAGTAGTCATTTTAAGGACAAAATAAGTGTGAGGTCTGACTCGTTCAAATCATAAATGTTGTCATTAAGAGATATCAGCAGCCGCAAGTGGAGAGTTCTCCGCTGATAATGTGACTTACCTGGAGTCTGTTGATGCTGTCACTCTCCTCAGACTCCTGACCCGGCACGGTCAGATAGAGCTGCAGAGCCGCGTCAGTGCGCAAGTCATTCTTACAGCCAATCAACAAGTAGGGAACTCCTGGGCATACGTTACTGATCTCGGGAACCCACTGTTAAGGTGTAAAAAAAAAATAGATACTAGAAAATAAAATAACGTGTTTGGCCATTGCAAGTTTATTATTAAAGAAGACACTGAGTACCTTCTCAACGACGCTTGTTAATGATGGGGGATGACCAATATCAAAACAAATGAGAATGACGTCAGAGTCCCGATACATCTCCTTTCTGATGCTGTCAAAGTCCTCTAGGCCTGATGGGAGATGAAAAGATATCATTTGTAAGATTAACAAAACTGTATTAAAACAAAGAAGTTTATAGACCTAGAGAAAATAATGTCCTAATATCTTCTCTTGTATACACCCGTTTCAGCTCCCTGTGGGTGGAGGTTAACTGTAGGACACAAACAAAAAAGAAATTAAAAAAAAAAACAAACAAAAACAGTACTAAAAGTAGTACTTTTTTGCCTTTGGTATGAATTTCTTTTTGCCTTTTTGCCCTCCACTTAGCAAAGGTCTTTTGGTAAGAGAGAAGGCTGGTAGTTCATCCAAGTTTCGTATTTCTTCGTGGAATTCGTACCTGATATTTCCCAAAGCATAACTTCTATTCTATTTTCTTCTGTGGTGATATCTGCCACGCATTCGCCAAAAATGCAAGATTCTTCTGCCTGTTTTGGAGGCAAAACACAAAATTTTAGGAAAGAACCGTCGAGTACAGTACATAATGGTCATAACCCGGCGAAATAAAAAAAGGAGGATAACTTAACAGTAGCCATCGATAAATCAATTGATTGACAAGCAAGTCTGCTACAAAGTGGGTCAGATAGTCAGTCTAACTGTCAGCTAGCCACTCAGTTAGTCAGAGTCGGTCAGTTTGTCAGTCAGTCAGCCAGCTATTTAGACAGTCGGTCTATCGATCAATCACTTAGCCATTCGGTCAGTCTGCCCGTCAGTCAGTCAGAAAGTCGGTCTGCCAGTCATCTCGCCAGGTAATCACTTGGTAAGTCAGTGACTTAGTTTACTAGCCAGCCACTTGCTCAGTCTGCCAACCTGTCCTCCTCTCAGTCAGTCAAACAGTCAGTCAGTGAATGGCTCGGTCGATCAGTTGGTTGTACGATAAGATTTTCTATTTATTCATTAATTCCGGCCCCCTGTGAAGAAAAGAGCAGAAACTGAAGAGAAAGATGTTGAAATTCAGAAAAAATGCATCACTGCATAGCAGCACTTACTTCAAAATCACTTCTAACGAGTGCATTCAGCAGACTCGTCTTTCCGCACTCACTGTCGCCAACGACGCATAACTTGTACCTCTCTGTTTGACCTGAATTCTCCAAGCCTCCCTCTTCGTTTGAGTTCGCATCCAATGAGTCATTGAGTTGTTGACTCTGTTGGTGCAGAAATGCAAATCAATAATCGATTTTAAGTTTTGAGAATAATTGCCTGCTTTAACGTTAAAGCCCCCTGTCGTTTAGCAGGGGGAGACGAGAAGATTGGATTCCGGCGCAACAAGTCTGGATACGAGACCTGGCAGAGTCGTTATGCTGTGTTCTTGGGAGAGACATTTCACTCTCGCCTTACCTATTTCTGCCAAGGAATTTGAGTGAGAACTGGCGAACTGACCGGGAAACGTGATGATTCCTAGGGTAACCTGCAATAAACTAGCACGAGGCCCTAAGGTTCTGTGCATGTAAGGTCAGTGCAATCTAATACTGAGCTGTAAAATCAACGAGCAGAAATTATGTATGATTAAGATGAATGATGTTGAATGATTGTATCAAACTTACAGAACAGCTCTTCATAATGATCAAATAAAAAAAAGGGTTTTCTGAAAAAAAGAGTGAAACGAATGGTAAAGTAGTTGGATTGTCGAATTTTTAGAGGCGAGAAACAGCATCGAAAAGAACATCATGAGCAACTGTAATCCTTTACACGTTACAGATTCTCATTTTCAGAGCCAAAAAAATTGTTTTCGCAAGAATGTTTAGCCACTGAAAAGGTCCTCTTATGGGAGGACCTCAAATGAAGTCGTAGGAGTTAGGAGGGTTTTTCGCAAGCGTTGAAGTGAGTTTAAGTGTAATGTAAAAATACATGAAGCTTCCGGCGTTTGCATTTACATTAACACGACATCTACATCTAATTCAAATATTCAATGGCTACGTAAGTAATTAAGCAATCCAAAAGCAAACAAAATCCTTTGTGGTCACGTAATCAATAACAACATAACAATTTGATAGATTTATTTTTACGACGTACGCTTGTGGCTACTGTTAAAAGATATATGATCTACATGAAATATAATTTAAACGGATAATTGGCGAAAATATAGATAATAACAAACGCTTATATACCCAAAATAGCATAATGATGAGTTGCATAAAATTTGAAGAAACAAAAAGATTTGAAAGGTTTTAATTTATAATTCTGCAATAAGCGCTACCAGCTCAATTTCAAGCCTAAAACTATACGTATAATCTTTGAAGTGCGTGCTATAAATTTGATATCGCGTAAGAAATACCAAATTAACCAGAGACAGCTTTTCCACACTCAATAGTTATTTTAGCGCGGTGAATTCTGATAAAAATGCGAGAAGCCTTACATTTTGTTAGTCGACTTCCCCTTTCCCTTTGCGATGGATGTGATGGTATTAGTTCGTTTAAAACTCAGCAGAGAACTTTGTTTAATCGTGTAATTTATAATCGCGCCGATTTGTTGGCGCTAAACTTCAATTGACGGGGAAATTAAAAAGTGTAAAGATGCTGCTTAATAAATAACCCTCGGAGAATAAAAATATTCAGCGCTGAAATACAGGGAATAAAATTTCATTTGCATAGTTGCCTATCAACTTTCCCAAAAAATTAAGAAAGAGCCCCGTATTAAGATAATTGAGGATGATTTCAGCGCGAATCTATCCCACAATATTTAATGTGTTTAGCGCTCCATTATTCAGTCAAAGAACAAATTTTGTACGCTGTTTTCTTGAAAAGTTCGTACATTAAACTTAAGATGATGTGTTTTTTATTAGAGTAACTGCATCTTATTTCATCAAAGATACGAACCTACAGGCTTTCAAGAGAGATATGATGTGACGTTCAAAACAAAACTTGAACTGTGAAATAAGCTAAAATAAAATTATTCCGGCTAACAAACCTTGAAGAAAGAAACAGCTGGTAGGCTGAACGATCTTTTTTTCTTCCTGTTTCTGTGGTGTTTCATCTATGAGCTGAGAGGAACATTTGTGATGTCTTTCGGCTAGGATTCGCCCATGCTTAAAAACCAACTTGATTGTTTACACGAATTCGTTTTCTCTTCGAAAAGGAACAGTCGCCTGAATTAGATGTCCTGTCTTTTAACTAGCTTCTTAAAAGCGCATTTTATTGTCATGTTTTCAAACTTTGGCACGTATGCAAATTAATTCTTATAAGAAACACCTGTGTTTTGCCGGTTGCGTTTATATTAATCATTATTTTCCAACTTCAATAGTTAACCTACTGGTGAAGCTGTATTTAATAAAGTGGGCAATCAGTCAAAATTCTTTACTCGTCAGAGCTTGCTTTAAAATTTGACTTTATTCGATCTCTCGAGTGTTCCGTACTTTTACGAACTTTCTGGTAAATTGATTAATTCAATGTCTTGCTATCGGGAGTGTTTACATTTCTTCTGGTACTAGATACAAATTTATGGAGATCAGATGCATTACATTTAGGGAAAGCCCAAATTGTTTTTAGGAAAACGCCTGTTTAGTTCTAAGTTTAATTTCAAAATCTGACTCCGAATTCTCAGCTCCAAGTCGCCTTACAATTTCATCAAGATTAACATATGCTCAGGTTACATCAAGAAAAACACTCTTGCTGATAATTTTGCTACTTCTTATTACCTGGTTGCAAGATAATTTAGTGATATTGTAAAGAGAAGTTGCTCATTGGTCACCTGTGAGATTTGATTAAGTCAGGCTTTGTGAAAAACAAATCTGCATTGTTATTCTTTCGTCAGCCTAATGTGTACAATAGAATTCATCCAATTAAAATAACGATTATTCATCCTTCGTCAACCATTTTGAAACCATCTTGATTACGGTTGTACTGTAAGATCTTTTTTTTTCCTTTCTTAAGCCGTTTATATAAACAGTAGCCTCGATTTGGCGCGAAAATATGCTCGTGGACATTATCTGTTCCTCGAAGCTCACAGCATTGTGCGGGTAACCGGTAAATCGTCTTTTCAAAGAACACAACGAAATAACCAGGACTGGAACCCAGACCTCCTGAATTTTGCCTAAATTATCATGATCTCCGCCTACTTCCCGTTTTCTATAACCAAAACTTTCTACAATCCAGCGAAATCATTTTAAATAAGATCGCGCACAAAACATTTTGATTTGTTTCGTACCTAAATTATCATGATCTCCGCCTACTTCCCGCTTTCTATAATGACGCAAGGTCCGATATTCGATTATTTTATATAAAAGCTTTCACTGATTACAATGGTCAATATATTCTTTTGTAAAAACCACAAAGGGAAACGAGCGAGATCAGTGGAGTGCAAAGCTGGCGTATTATTCACATCATTATCTTTTCAGTTTACGGAAAGTAAGAATGTATATCAAGAGTGCGTTAAGTACTTCCATTCAAAGCTAACCATCGTATGTTCTATCAACTTTGTAAACAACAACACACATTGGCGTTAAATTCGGTGAATTCAAGAACATGCGCTTTTAATTTGGAAGTTTTTTTTTTCAATCTAAAATGCTTTAGGATTTGGAATGCAATGAAGAATCTCGAAGCCCTTCGGCTCGTTCCTGACATCAAATCAGCAGCCTTAATTTTCGTCGACGATCGCCGACGCAGAACTGCCTGTTGACATACTGTTTCCCATAAGTGTTGGGCTCCACTTAGCTTCAAATTGAAACAGAATTCAAGTGCAGACCTTTGCGAACTGAAGACAATCATTAGCCTTGAAGTTTTCTTATTAGTTTCGTGCATTTTCGTCGAGAGATCAACAAGCCGTTTTATTAGATATATGCAGGATTATCAATTAACACAAAAAATGCATGCTCACCGGTTTTTAAATTTTTGTAAATGAGTCCTCTGCATTCAATTAGAAATTATATAGATTCCTGAGGCAAAATCAATCAGTGTTGTGCAGCTGATAATCATTTATAAAATTGACATCTACATAACAATCAGTAACATACACAAAGGGTTTAATCGAGCCAATATTCTAGATTTACTCAGTTTTAAAAACATCTGCCCCCGCACAGGTTTCCATTAGATACCAAAATTTGTTTGTCTCTTAAATAACTCAACTCAGGGAATATATTAGAGCTACGGCAAGGTATTTCTTCAGTCATAAATATTAGTAAAGTTTTAAGGATGAAGTATTAGACCTTTTCAACCAAAACAAAGGTTGTCACTAATACAAAAACTTATAGCTAGTGGGTTGAAACATGTTAAGGTTTGGAGTGCCATTGTAAACGTATAGCACGCCTTCTTGTCATGCAGGGAACGAATTTTCTGGAACTGACTGTATTTAAATAGGCCTATGGTCACGAAGACAGTGTGGAACAATTATCCCGTTAAAACTGCTCTCAAAGGCCAGATTGATGCATTGTTAATCTTTTTGGTGGTTTACCTCACTGAGCGACGCGTAAGTTACTGATATTCGTGCAGTTTATGCGACAAATGGATTATTATCAATTTACACCGAAGCTGCCTCGACTCTTTCACCATTGCTGGTAGAAACAGTTCGGCTGTGTTGGAAGGCTGCACGCAAATCCGGTTGTGTGGATAAATACATAAGACTTATACAGCATTCTTCTGTTTCCATATTTGCAAAGCACTTGAAATGACACAAGACAGGAAAAATGAAACGGAACTACACACAGAGTATGGCATTAAGCGAAACTACACCTCCCGCTACGCTTGGACTATTTTTAGACAACCTTTAACTCTTTCTAGTTTGGTATGTTCTGTTGATCTTTTATAATCATTTAACACCTAAACGAACAAATTCCGAGGCCTTCTTACGCAAGATTAGTTCAGTTTTGGATAAGTGTTTTTCGTGAGTTCTCTATTTCAAACCATTCACTGCTCCTCATGCGAAACGTATGGCCATACTTATCACAGATTTAGCTTCACCTAACTTTGTTTGAATCATCCTACAAGACGCTTTTTAACAGAGGATACAGGTATTCTTGAATGCACAATTTCTGTGATAAGCTTGAAAAGAATCACGCTCTTTAACCAAAGCTATAGACATGATATGAATAAAAACAATTAAAGTTAATTAGCACCTACTAAGCAAAGTTCGAAAGCCAAGGCTTCATGGAAAATGATTAAGAACTTAATCCTTGGAGTCTTATGTCAGCAAAATTATTGCGCAAAAGATAATAAACATCGGAAGTGTTTCAAAAAATCAAGGAATGTAATTGAATGGCGTATGAAAACTGATGCTTGTTGTTTTTAGACGACAAAATGACGGTCGTGACAGCTGCATGATTCTATTTCGGCTTTGCAAATGCCGAACGTGGCTTTATTAAAAGTAAGAGTTACCTACCAAATGCATTGAGTTGGTAGAGTTCCTTCGTCTCGATTCATCTTCCAGCAAGGCCTCTAGGCGTTTTGGATCCAACATTGGCTCGGAAATCACTGGTAGAGCACTCCTTCGGCGCGCCATTCTGTTCAGAATAGTCATGAATGCCTAGAAGACCTCTGTCGCAAATTGCGCGCCTTCAACAATCTTCCGATCTTCCGGCTCTTTGGTGCCAAGCGCTACGGCCGGTATTTAAATTGTTCCCTAGGGCACCGAGATCCAAAATGAATTTAGTCCTACTATTCTTAGCGGCTCATAATGCACGACTCTTTGACCTTCTGCTTACAATTTTCTGCTTACTTGTGAATGATTGAATCTGTCAGTGAGATTCGGTTATGACCAGGTGACGGTTGAAAGACTTCGCTCACGGGGGTGGTACTCACGAATAACGGGCTAAAAATTGCGTCATAACTCGATATCACCTGCCGCCTTTACAAATCTATTCACGGGTGCTATTTTTCCTATGCGTTTCAAGAAGTACGTGATCGATTGATTAAACGTTCAATAACCGGTCTCGCCTGAGGGATTTTACGGTTGATTGTTTTATAATTGAAAGGTTCGGTAAAATAAATGAAAGTTTTTGTTCTCTTTATACCGTATTGTAAACAAAATGAAAACCACTCATCAGATCGTACCTAGATCCTTTGTGAGAAAGGGCGGGAGGAGTCAACTAGAATTCAGATTGTAAAAGAAAGGCGCAAATATTCCATTCCATAGGAGGCTTGGCCAAATTTTACTTCGAGAAGTTTCCAACATTTCCATGAGTTTGAAAACAAGAGAAAATCCTGTATGGATTCACGGATTCATTAGATATTGCAATAAAATACGTTATGTTTGATAAGTAACGAGAGAAAAATTGTCATGTAGTTGTGAAAGAAATGTTTCTTGACTAGTCTAATCCAGCGTCTCCAATTGAGTCTTATGATTTCGGACAGATGTTACCAATCTCGAGCGGTTTCTTCTTAACATGTAAGATTCGGCTGTCAGATTCTGGGTCTAGTGGAGGTATTCAAATCTTGAATTTATTGACGTTAGAGTAACCGTGAGATTGTTTCAGTCATGATTTACATAGAAGATAGTTATCAAACAAGAGGCAGTTTTTTAATTTTGTGGTGTTTACATCATGTCTCACACCATGGAAGAAACAAATATGAAGACGTTTTAAAGTCGCTGTCACTCCTATTTTTATCCGGCATCACGGACGCAAATGCATTATTTCAAAGTTGGATTTTTTTCTTCACATAGCGTACTTAGGTGAATTTGAAGAAGTTTTGGGGTCCATACAATTCAAATGGTTCAAAAACTGAGAGGAGTTTTTTCAAATTAGGTTTCAAAACATAATGAGGTTTCATAAATTGGTCAGAAATTAGTTTGAAGTTACGTTTAATTTAAGGAAAACATCAAACACAAGTCAGGTAGTTGATTATCTTATGTAGTCTTTGCTATCACCAAGGTCTCCCAAAAAAACTTAACATTAAAACTTATTAAATTCTGGGAGTAAATACATTTTAGAATTTATGAAATAGATAAATGCATTTAAAAGGCGGTGAATGACAAAGCAAATAAATAGATGAGTGAATCATGATAAATGTACCAGTAATGTATTAAAATAAATCCAAAAATCCATTAAACAATTTTATTTCCTACGGAACAAAAGAAACTGCCCCGCTGATTGAATAATTTCGTATGATGACTGCCGACGGTCCGTATGATTGTGAACACCCATTTACGGCTTCCGACTCTTAATATACCACTTCCGATGTGAAGGTCGCTCGCTTCCGACCAGTAGTTTCCGATCTCAGACTTAGGTTTTCGACAGTTTCCGTATCTTTGCGAAGTTCATCTTTAATGTGTTCTTTATGGTAGATATACAAATTTTGACCGCCTCGGGGGCGACTCACATGGCCAGTACACCGTGCATCCGCATTTAATAAATCTTCACTCTTCAAGTAACTGATATATCATTCAAAAAAAGGAAAGCTGAACTGATACTACAATTTACGTATAAAAATCTCTTTGATTCCATCTCCGTCACTAGATAAATAGCTAAGGTCAGTTCTCTCTCTCTCTCCTTTTATTTTGTAGTTATATATTGCCCAGGTTCAGTTGTTAAGGTCTCTTATCAGGGATCTCACCGATAGCGATGTCTAGGGTTTCCCATAAATCGTATCATATTTTAAAAATTAGTCTTTTGAAAATCAGTTTAAAATTATTCTGTTTTTCAAAAATTAAATTAAAAACTCGCTAGTTTCGGTCACGATTCAATTTACTTTCGCGAACATTTCCTTCATTTGCGATAGCTTTTCATACATTATCATCATATTTCCATATCTTTTAAAAACATAAATTTTAATGTCATTCACAAATTGCGGGAACAGGATTTTCCACCAACAAACATTAATTTTACATCACATTCATAAGTTTTCGAGCGGAAACACACTTGGCATATGGATATGTTTTGATTATGGGGTCAAAAAAATTAAATTAATTGCATTGAATCCCACGCTGAAAGTCACGATAAAAAAAAAGTATTCAAAATCTTACGCTCACCTATTGAATAAATATGAAAATCTCCCCTACTGCGAAAATTGAAGAGAACGACTTTTCCATAGGTAGCTAATTTAGTTATGGCTTAGTAAATTCCGGTTTTCTTTATCTTTACGTAGTTCAGCTGTTTCGTCTTCTTTTCTTTGTCAGTTAAAAATGTTGATCTCATATTAGTTTTTTCTTACATGTATCAGTCGTCACGGTCTTTGGATTAAACAAAGTTTTGCCGAAACGGCTCTGTCGCTACTTTCGAGTGCGCTTATCAGTGCCTTCGAAAATGACGGACTTCTCGAATCCCTTCCGATTGAATTTCGATTGCGTGAAAGTAACGTCGAGCGCTGTACCCAGCCGTTAGTCTCGGAAATTTACAATCACATTAACTTTCCAAACTCAAACGAGATTTGGTTGATTTCAGTTAGGAACTCGATTTAAAATGTTGAGAAAAATTTTTACTTACGACAGATCAAAACGTATTTGAAAGAAGAATTTAATTACCCGAGGGGGTAAGTGTAAAAAATCCCTGGGAAAACAGAAATCTGAGAAACATTCTATAAATACTTGGGAATTAAGACATATGGATTTTAGGTGTTTTCTAATATCTTTAGCTAGGAAATAGCCCGATATGGTCTTTGAATACACGAAGAACAATATCTCAAGAATCATAATAAAGTTTTACAGACGGTTTCAACCTGGCCCAATTTGGTTTAATTAGGGCCTTGAGTTGCGCTTGACTCATTCGACTCTTTCACAGATGTCTTTTCACGACATGTATTTAAAAGCTTCTAGAGGTTATAATAGATACTTTTAAAGAAATAAAGAACAAAGGTATTTTATCTAAACAATGTATTAAAAGACTAAAACCTATTAGATGAACAGATGCGTAGCAGGCTCGCGTTCCCACACTCAAATGCAAAAATAAAAACAAGTCTGCTATAGGTTAAGTTTTCATTTCCTTTTCATCTTTCGCGCGATCTCAAGTAGGACTTTCTTTCTGTGTGTATAAAAGTAACTTTTTTCCGCTTTTTTCCTTCGTTAAGTAATTTTGGTTTTTCTAATTTGCCTCTAAAAGATTTAGAATTTCCTCATTTTGATAAACTTTACGTTTCGAATCTGTGAAAAGAAAGAAAAACTCAGCGCGTAATGTCAAAAATATTATCAGCGAGCAACGAAACTCGCGTATGGACTACAAGCTTCCTCGCCAAAAACACTTTGATCGGTCCTTTGCAAGGAAACGTAGCCCAATTGGTTGAGAGAGTTGAGTTTTTACATACTCCTTCGGCAAAATTCAAGGTAAGCACTCCGTAATCAATATTTGTTGTAATATTTCGCTGCAGTTTTATAGTATTTTTACGGTGTAATGCAGACTAAAAGGTATTAGGAAGCGGCCTCCGCGCTTTTCCGTGGATTGGCGCCTGTGATTTCAATAGTTTTAATTCTCTTTTTCACTTCAATCGATTAAAAAGTCGACACAAGGAGTACATGTAAAGAAAATTCCCTCTGGTATGAGTTAATCTATGGGTTTTTATTCAGAGTTATTGGTATATTATATAGTATTATTATAATAGCAGAACAGGATAAAGAAAAGTCTTAGACAAGATAAAGACACAAATGTCGGGGTAATTTTCCATCTAAGAAAAGTCGGTTCTCTTGAAAGGTTTCATTTAGTGTAACACGAAAGATCTTCATCTTAAATTGAAACCACCAAAAATATGCTAAAATAGTGGAATTAGTGTCAAAAGCTGAGAGTGCAATGCAAAGCCTTTACAAATCACCATTAAAGTTAACGATCAGGAAGAAAGTGAATAAAATCGAATTGCATACATTGATTTTTTTCTTCCGTGAATGAGTGTCCAATTTAGTCTTTCTTACTTTATACAACTTGCGCTAACTTTTAGTTCTAAACAGGTTTCGAGTCGAACTAGAATATGAATTAAAGTTTGGAAAGAAAAATCGATCATGCCAGTCGAATTGCAGATATCAGAATCACTCGAAAAGCTTCAAAAGTAGAACAAAGGCGCCGAATTTACGAATTTTAAAATGACTATTTTGTGGTTCCTGATTATTCCAAGGGTATTCTAAAATGATTTAACTATGAATTTTATGGAACTTTCTCGGTAAGGTTTTAGCCTCCAAAAATACTTAGGCTATTTTGACCTCTAGTTGAATAGAGCTCAAACTTAGACCCAGAATTGAGTTATTCTGATCAATTAATTCCGTGGTATTTTATTAACAAAAAACGTTTTCGTTTTCAAATTAATTTCTATGATTCATTTAAGTTTCAAAGCTGTTATACATTTTATTTTAAACTTAACTGCTCAACTTACGACGAAGGATTTTCTGTCGGCCGCGAAGTCATTCACATCAGCTCATTTCACGATGTTAGACACATCTTTAATACTACCACTGAAGAGAACACTGAGCAGTGTAATTACCTGAGAGAAATCATTAGCAAAATAATTAAATGTTGGCAAAAAAAATTTATAAATCTAACAACATACAAAGGGTAAGGCCCTGGGAGAGAAGGTCTACTTCTAC